ATACTGTCACCAAGCTTCCTCAACACTGGATACCGAACTACTATTCGGAGAAAGGGATCTGGTATGTTTTTCTCTGGGTACATCTCACTGTTTACCAAATACACTTCTATTGGCAGAGTGCTACAGGGACAGAAAAAGCCTATACACTCAAGCTAATTGCTCATGTTGAATAACAGCTTACCCATGACTAGAACTATTTATTTCAGTACAATCAATGCAGATTTGGGAGCTACTTAGCCTCACTAACGATAAGAAGGGCTCTAAAGACACGAGCAACACATTCATTAAAAAGCTCTAGGGTAAATCTCATAAAGTAAAGAGTAGGGTAACTGCATTTTTATTCAGAAGGGTTTGTATTAAAATCTCAATGTGAATGCTCAAGAGGGAATTTAAACAAAAGGTAGAGTGCCTGATGAAAAATGTGATAGTTCCAGTCAAAGGGTCTGATATAAAACAAGATACAATGAAAGGGAAAACGGAAGGAGGAATAACACGTAATTCACTGATGGAGTGAAGACACAGACAGTTAGAAATTAGAGTAACAATATAAGCACAGTCAGCAACGAGACATTTTGCAGGAGAGGATAAGTCTAACCTCAAAGCACACTTAAACAAAGTTTAGGAAAAAATTGTAAAATCAAGGTAGCAAGCACAGCCCTATTAATAGGAACAAAACCAGTTCTTTGACATGGTTTCATGTCTCTATGAGCTCTTTTTTATTTCCAAACATTGCACGTTTATCAGATCGATTAAACATATTCATCTAATGACTTCCTCGCAAAGAAATATTATTTTAAGAAAGCACTGAAATTTCTGAGTTTATTGATGACTCAAACAATTTGCCCCCAACTATAACTCCACAAAACTTTCTTTGCTGGCCCAAATCCTCATTGAACGGATTTCTGAAAGTTGAACTGTGAACCAATAACCTCGCATGTAATATGCAGTGACAGGAATTTGTCAAACATTTTACAGGGGAAAAAAAAAAGTTTTCTTAATAGGAAAAGCTCCTTTTTTTTTCCCCTCCATAAAAGCATAACTGAAAACAAAGAGCTGAAGCTCTAGAGTAGAAAGAAAGGGGAGCAAGGAATCTAGAATATAAAAAAAACCCCACGTTTCTTTTTGTGCAGAAATATATAGAATTGCTGCAAGTAGATTTTGTGATTACTATAAATATAAAAAATATGCAGAAATTCTTCTGCCCTCCTCCCCTTTTTTTTAAAATCTCAGAATGAAGACATGCATACTGCCAGGAGACAGATGGAAGGTTTTGCCACATTTTAAAACCAAGTTAATGCAACCACAGTGGGGCAGTCAAGGACAACACAACCAACCTGCTTCTAGAATGCTTCCAAAGCACAGAGAACAGATCAAATATTTTAGATACCAAGGGCAAAATCCCACAGTGCTTAGTCAGGCAAAACTCCTGTTGAAGCCAGTGGGAGTTTTGCCTGAGTAAGTACTGAGCAAAGACTACAATAGTTGACCCAGATTTATCAGACTTATACAAATCTAGGTCTAATGCATTTTTAAGACAGACAATCGCTGTGCTGCAATATTCTAGGAGCATTCTGGTTAAAGGAAAGCTCTGTAATAAGAAGATACGAATCACCTCCCAGTACATATGTATATATATAATGAAGGGAAGAATTCAAAGCCGGGCTAGTAGTTGCTATCTCAAAAATCTGCCAAAGAGCAAGACTAAAAGAATAAGTTTACCATTTCAAAGTTTTGGAAATCTGATAAATACAGAAAAGTGGTCAAGTAAGACTCTCAAGGGCTTTTGTGTGACTGGAAATAATCTGGCTTTCATTCCTGTAAACAAACCAACTCGTAAGCAAACAAGCAACTATTAATAATTCCTCTTCCTATAGTTATCCTTCTGATTTAGGGCAAATCGCAATTCCTACGTGGTTGGTGAAAATTCTTCTAGTTGATTTCAGTGGAGATTGATATAGGCCAATAACTAGGTCAGGCTTGTTTCCTACAAAGTTAACAATTCCTATTACAGAAACAGGAAAGTAGATGAAATGTAGCATACACATCTCTTGCCTCAGAAACTTTTTTCTGTAATTACAGAAATCCATTTACAATAACTTTGATATCCCATATAGGAGAGTATTACACTGAATATTAGAATTAGTAATTTTAGTATTAGAATCTGCCTGAGCACAAAGATTTAGAAGCATGTGTGAGACGTACACAATTTGGGCTTCCTTGCTCCACGTGGAGTTAATATAAAAATTGTGATTTCAGTGTGATGAGAACCAGAGAATTTACCTGAAGGAAGCGGGGCAGAGGGAGGAATCTAAGCACTACACATCACAACGCAAAAGGCAAAATCATACCAACCTAAAACCTCACCATTCCCTATTTAACTGGGCCTATACTTTGCAATATTCTTTTATTTTAACAGCTGTAGCTAAAAAAAATATGAAAGGATATTTCTTTCCCCCCCCAACAGCTCTTTCATCATTAATGTATCCTATATCTTCCAAACTGTGCAATATTACCCAGAGAAGCAGAAGCAAATAGTTGTAGCATTCAGCCTGACAATTGCTTGATAACATCTTGGTGAAATTAAACTAGAGGTTTTTGAAGGGTACATCCTTGAAAATGAAAAGCTACAACTTCTATCAAGTGTCAGTCTTGGAGCCTGGAATCTCACAGAGTAAATGCTGAAAGCCACAGTCAAAGTTCAGCCAACTTTAGGTTTTCCCACCAGATATGAAAGACTAGTATCACCTGCTTTTATCCCTTTTGTAAGCATCTGTTATATTCTGGGGTGAGAAGAAATAAGGTGCCATAGGAACATGAACATACAACTGATCCTCTTCGACACATAAAACTAGAGAAGTTGGCTCATGTTCCAAAAGATGGCAGCTCAGAAAACTACTACATCTAAATTCTCTTCTGATTTTCTGCATCCAAATCTATTCTTCTCACCCACTTTTATAAAAGTTGTAGGGACTGGACTTCAGCCTCTCCACAACAAGGATTTGTTTCCCTTCATCCCAAGGATTTTTTTCCCAAGAAAAGCCCCTGCTACTTCTTTGTCAGTGACTGTTTTAAGGAAACATTTATTTATGATAAAATCAAAACAAAAATAACATTAACTCTCCTCACTTCCAGAAGTGTCAGGTCAGGCTTTCATTCCTCCTTTACGTTCCTGCTAGGCTTTTTTGTTTGTTTTGCTTCTTGATTGCCTCCTTTTGGTTCTTAACACTCATCCTCACTAAAAAGTCCTCCCGTACATAAAGGCATAAAAGGAATCTTAGCGTTCCCCAGATTTGTGTCTGAGAGTTTTAAGGCTGCATCACGGTCTAGCAATGTTGCCTAGTGTTTTTGGTCTCTTCTAGCATCAAAATTATTTGCTCTCCAGTTGAGCACAGAACACCATGCAAGCAGAAAAATACATGGGATTGGGACAGAAACATAAACGATCTCCTGTAGTATCTGAAGACACAGTATGAGACTCCTTCCCTCAAGATTTGTTCCATATGAGCTTTGAAATACGCATCTCACTGCGCACTAATGACTAACTCCTTTCAAACAATCAGTTCTCTTAACAGTTTTTTTTTTTCTTTTAATTATTGTTATATGGGAGTGGATTCAGGAATTCCTTTCACTATATTCAAGGACATAATGCAAAGAGTTTTCATCCTAGTGTGGAATATGTCAATATTTAATTACGAAGCTTTACAAAAGTCTGGTGAAGTCAACTGCTTCACAGTTCCAGCCCAGAAGTTTTATATGGCTATATGCAGAGAAGTTACTTTTTACAACAGTATTTAATGCGGATCATAAATCCACATGGGGAATGTTTCAACAGATGAATACAAAAATCATCCAGATCTTATTTTCTTCCATATAACAGCAGCTAAATAATAGGTTGGAGTTGAACTGTTCGGATCACTGGAGCTGAATAGTATCCTTTTCCCACAGAATTACTCACCCGTTCTGACTTTTACAGCACCAGCTAACAAATTCAGCTTCTTAACCTGTCTTCAAATGAGGAAAAAAAAAGCATCAACTAAACGACGTTCTTTTTGAAGACTTCATGAAGTTGTTCTGCTTGTTCTATATATCAGAATGCTATTACCTTAAAGTAATTAGTGTCAGTTCACACGGTATTCAAAGCAACAGCCCTGACCTTAAGGAATTGACTTTAAGCTCATTTACAGTATATCATCAGCTGCATATACTGCTTTCAGCTATGTTTCAGTATAACACATTTAACACAGTAAAGGTATTTTATGATGATGTATATCTTGGTCAATATTTTGAATGTTAAAATATTAAGTACACTGTGGTACACAATAAAATTATGCCTATGTGAGATAACCGTAGTGATAAGCTCTCAAAACTGGTATTTGTGATTATATTCATTCACATAATTAGCAATAAAGCAAGAAGCTTGATTTTAAGATTAAAAATGTAATGCTACCATAAGTGTGGATATTATAGTTATAACTGAATAGAGATATTGCTGAAAATGTTTATGTTCTGCATGTTTATAATGGCTTCTATAATTATAATTTGAGAATGGCAATTCTGATTAATAAAGTTTGACAATTATAAATGCGTGCAAACTTCATATACATGCTAAAAACAGATGTCTTAAATTAGATTAATATTCTGATATTGTTAGTTTAAAAAAAAAAATCTGTCAGCAGTATGGGGAATTAACAGTAGAATACTGCAACCACTTACAGTACAAGTACTTGCACAGAGTCTCTGTTGAAGACATGGCTTCCAGAAAACTAGTTAGAAATGAGGAGAGGCTAGTGGGAAAGGGCAAAATTTTCCAAAGTTCTCAGGTCCAACTGAGAGGTCAATAATTTAGGAGCTTCCATCACTTCTTACTGCTTTTGAAAACATTAACTGTATCTTTTTTGAGATTCATAGTCTTCATTTCAAAAACTGTATTCAAGTGCATCGACTTTTTATCTCTATCCTTGCATAGGTATTTAAGGTTTTTCTCAGAGAAGTAGCAGTGCCTATTTGTGAGAGTTCAATGCCAGTAAGTGTTGCGTCTCACACAGAAGTCAGTCAATAGTCATGATCACGAGATAACACTACCTGTGATAAAAAAAAAAGAACCCTTTGAAAAAACAGTAATGTAGGTATGATGTTCCTGTTTGACTAGTTATACAACCACAAGTAAGGAATGATCATTTTTCCAAAATAAATTTCTAGATGCTCTACCGATTAATTATATAACCCTAACCTTGATGCCATTAAAACCAGTCAATGCTTTGACACACTTGATGAATAATCACTGTGGATAAGTACTTCATTCTAGCTACGGTGGAAGTAAAACATATTTATCATTTTTTCTTCATGCAATGGTAGGTATTATTTCAGCACGGCAGGGAAACAGACCCCGTTTCTGCCTTCCAAAGACTAATCAGACCATCAGGTCACCAGAAGCAATGTCAATTATATTTCTGGAAGTAGAAGGATATTTATTACATTTAAACATTTCAAAGTGTAAGTTGTCTGGAGAAAAAAAAAAAACACACTTTGCAGCTTTATGTGGATATTTAATGACAACCATTTACAGAGACAGAAGACAGTCAGCAGCTATTAAATAACCTGAAGACAACTGTATGGTCACAAACAGCCACATAATGAAGGCTTGCAACTTCAGAGCTCCCTAGCTTACCCTCATTTTCTTTCTAAATGGCAATCTCTCTTTATATTCTTACTTCTTCTGTGTCCCCTACCAGGGGCAACTGAGCTGTGCACAGAACCAACTACACAGAAGGAGGAATAACACCAGAACAGGTCTGGTAAGAACTTCTTCCTTTTGTGCAGGTATCATACTGTGTAGCTGCTTCATGTCTTTCGCTGGTCACATACTCTGAGAACCTGGTACACTTCAAATCCATTAAACAAATCGGTACATCCTGGGAATGGAACTTGCGTTTCTCAAAAAAGAGATAACTGCATATTAAGCGATTCAACTGCAACCTAGAAGATATATTTTTAAACACCCATAGGGCCTGCAGCAAGGCATATAAATTGCTTTCTACAATTGTCTTGAACTTAACACCAAAAAATGAAATAAAAACACTGGGTGCTATAAAATCTAACCTAGCTTTGGATGGTGCATACTTTTAGTGCTGCTCTGTATCTGAATGAAAAAATAAAGCCAGTTAGTATTCCCCTAATGGTGCGCAACAACTACAAAGCAAAACCAGACACTCAACACTGCAGAAAAATATTAACAGTGGTGGAGTGGGGGTGGGGGGGGGAAAAGCTTTTTTGCCTTTGAAGATAAATTGGAGATCAAATTTGTTTGAAAAGATCAATCATATCACTACACTGTAAAGTCGGGTAACAGAACCTGAATTAATTCAGTAAAAATCCATTTCCAAATCAGCATCCTAACATTCAAAATGTAGCTGCAGAAGCTATCTAATTCCATCTTTAAAATATCCTATGTCAGCTTAGAAAAGCTCTTGGCCTGGTGTTTTTCATTTACTTTTATTACTGCCTGCTTCTGATTATAGCCCAACTGTAGTGAAACCTCAGACAAGTGTTTTACAGGCTAGTTCTGCCCTCAGTTCCATTCCCCGACCTCCCGTTGCGTCGTTATCCAAGGAGATCGTTAAGATCCACTCCAGTTTTTTCCTTCTGAATTTTTATGAACAAAAAAGTTTTGGCACCACTCATTTTACCTACAAAAGTTAGCTTGGCTAATTTTTGTCAATATTTGCCCTGCTGAAACGTTAAATGACACTCATTGCCTGCTTATCTTCTCTTGCCCATTTTGATCTCTGCAGTGTTTTCCCCCATAACACGGGCTTCACAGTTGCATTCTATATTAAGTCTCAGCAGTGCCACATAAAATGCTGATAACTTCTGCAGATTTATATGCTTGTCCTGTTTTGCCTGTTTTTACTGCTCTACGCTCATTTCTCAAAATTATTCCTGGAGTCTTTCTGTTGGATTGTACCTCACCACACAACCACGTTTTCATTTTGATTGCCAATTCCCACAGTCACATTTTGTTTTCACTTTCATTAACAAATGCTCTTGGCAGAATTAAACAACTGACTGAAAAATCTTCAGGCCAGGAGGATTTATTTTGCATCCGTATAGCACATGGCACAGAGTTTTACTGTGCACATCCTGCACGGTCCCTTCTGCATGAGCTACGGCACATCTTTTAGAAAGACGCGCAGTCTTGATTCAAGGACTTCTACAGACAAAGATTCCTGCACTTCCACAGATAACTTGTTCCAGTGGTTAGTTACGCTTGCTGTTTGAAGCACAGCAACTACCAGAGTGAGTCAGACCCAAGATGATCTAATCAGCAGCCTGTCACAGTGACCACTATCAGATGTTTCAGAGCAAGGTATAAAAGCCTGAAAATAATCTGTACTCTGCTACTTCTGCCTTTCATATTTGTTTTCTTCCTGTTCTCCAATAGTCTTAGTCTGAAATACGAGGTTTCGTATCTCTTTAAAATCATCACTGACTGCAGTAACTGGATATTCTTTCTTCTTATGAATATTCAATCCGCTTTCTAAATCTTGTTAAAATCTGGGTGTAAATGTGCCAAGCACTCAATTTTCTGTGGCACTCAGCTCCACGGTTTAATTACACACTGTGCAATAAAATTAATTCTCATCTTTAAAACGGTTTTGAATTTCCCATCATTTAACCTAGCTGAATGTATCCTTCCTTATTTTTGCAGTTAAATGAAATAAGGAGCACGTACGTTCCTGACCTAGACCATTCATGTTTCAACATAGTGCGTTTCCAGTGACCATTTCAGCCAAATTGTTAGGCCAGACATCAGGCTCATTGATGTGGACTCCCCAGGTCACTCTTGAAGTCCCTGCAATAGGCAAGTACATGGTTCCGTTAATCCTCTGTAATAGTGGCTGCTTTAAACGGGATTCATAGTCAGAGCTTACCAGTTCTTTTGTGAGTGTTGGAACACCCATCATAACCCTAAGTCCTATGCCTTTCCTTGCTACAGAAGCTACCATGAGTTCAATAAAAAATATTATGCATACAGCGACTCAACAGAAAAGATTCCACTTGAGCAACGGTTTCTCAGTCTGTGGTATATGGAACCCTGCAAGTTCGCAGAATACTCTGAAGGGATCTGTGAAAGATACCAAAGCGTAACACGCTATATAAAAAAGCCACAGCAAGGAAACTTCTAACAAACTTTGCATCTCCACTAGATACATTTCAGGAATCCATGCATTTAGAAAGGTTGAAAACCATTGCAACGAAACATGCTGTACTGGTCCCAGACAGTATTGTATCAAAAAAATAACCAATGCAACCACTATCTGCGCTAAACAGCACAAACAGATTCATCATTTATCTCCTACATGTGGCTATCCCTAAAAACACTGGCACTTTAGGTCCGTAAGAGGTTCATTTTCAGTCCTACTACACAAACACACAATTCCATCGCGCTTGCATTCTTTTGCAAATACACAAATCCATTTTCATAAACATACTAACAGATGATCAGAAATCCAATCTGAAAAACAGTAAGACACACCCATGTAAAATTTTATTCTCCAATTTGCTATTATGAAATTGGGAGGAGTCAGACAGACAAGAAGTTGACATCCAAGCAAACGGAAAGGCAGAACCTGTAAATCTCCAAAAGGCAGCCTCCTCTAGCTTGATAAAGCACATTTTCTTCTTCTTACTAGAAATTAACTTAGATTATGATGAGTGATGGGATAATGCACTGAAATTCACATTGAGAATGAAATGCATAAAGCCCCTTTTTATTGTCAAGATGGTAGGACATGGTTGTGTCACTGAAAATAGTGCATTTTGAGCATGAATAAGAATGAAATGCCAAATATCCAATGATGTTTCTCCACCAAAGTTATACTTGGAGTCCTTACTTTGGGCAGGGGAAGAAAGAACGGGGACGTGAGAGTTAATATAAGTTTTTCAATTAAATTCAATCATTAAATTTAGAACTCTCTCTGAATTAAGCTCCTTTCGATTCTCTGCACATCTAAATGCAAATTTTTATGTGCTTTTTTTCCCCCTACATTCTCAGAGCTCAAATGACAACTGTTACAGTCAAGAAAGGAATACTCAGAAGTAGCAAATCAGACAAAACATGTGTAGAGAGAATGTAATGTTATTCATATCTTAGATTCTTGTTCTTAGATCTTCCTCCTAAGGGTCTGATTTTGTTGTGGTCCGAGTTATACTTTGCCATTGTTTTTGTTACTAACTTTTAGGAGGGGCAAATACACCAGAGAACCTCTTAAATGAACTTGGGAGCACAGCTGGATAAAAGCTGAACCAAGAATTTGAGAGCAGATATATCTAAATATTTACATTTTGACAAAGGCACATACCCTCATCTTCAGGGGCTTCTGTAGATAATAAGCCAAAAAACAGCTAACACCACACCCCAAATGAGTAAGCTTGGGACTTCTTCTATTATTTTTAAACACACAACTACTCATTCAAGGTGTTGGAGCCCAAACGTCAGTTAAGTCTTTGCTGCAAGACAGCGATTCCTTAGGCTACTCCTCCATTCTTTGGCCATTTATTCTTGAGCATAACCTGAGTACATTTTATCTCTGTCCACGACAACACCCAGGGAACAGAGGCTTGGTGAAGGTAGCATGAAGCCTCTCAGAGCAGGAAGCAGATCTGCTGCACTGATCCAAGCTGGCAACTCACGTGAATGAGATTCATCTCAAACACTTGAGCCTAACCCCACTATGCATTTTAAAACCAGTTACTACATCTCCCATACCCTAGTGCAGACTGAGCACATTAGCAAGCTCTCAACAACACACTTCCTGACTTCTTGCATATGCTCTGAGAAATGAGCTCCTTGGAAATGTTTACATTATGCATTAGCACCAGAATCGCGCTGGAGTCATTCCTACTGTTTTACTGCTGCTAAAAGCAACCCACAGCACTCAGCAGGCTGACGCTCAGCTGCGAATGGGGACACGTGGTGTCTGCAGAGACACGGCAGCTGGATCCCAGCACTGCATGGGAGTTGTGACCTTCCACAGGAGCATGGTGGTCTGCTAAGGTGCTGGTAGCATCTTGCCTCGGAA